GAAATAGCTATTAATTAACATTATACCTAAATTTGCCAGTCATCACACTTGACTTGAATTTGCATACAACTGTTGCATATAAAACACTGCTAAGGGTATCTCGGGCTTCGGCAGGCAGTACAAATGCCATGGTTTGCAGCTGCGTTACGGCTCTGCCAGGCTGAGCCGCCTCCTCTTCCCCTCCCGCGCCGTGGTGCTGCTGCCCTGCCAACAAGTGCCCTTCCTCCGGGGGACCCGCAGTCAGGATTTATAGCTGGGAAAGTGCAACCCTGGAATAGGCAGCTATGTATATTCCCAGGTATTTCACCCTGATGAGGAAGAATAAAAATGACTCTCTTTAATTTGAGGTAGTGGATGTGCTGCTTGTTTCTCTCCCTTGTAAAGTACCCACGTTGTATTAATGTGACTGTTAAGATAATCATGTTTTTTGATGAAAGCATAAGACCAAAATGATGTTTCCAAATGAAGGTTGTTTTGATTTATTCCCAGTATGCAGCACGCATAATTTTGCTTCCCTAACTCTTTGAAGCAAGCTTTAATTTTATGGCTTTGGCTGTTGCTACTACTGTGCTGTGCTGTACCTATGAGCTATTTAATGTGCAACATCGAGGAGTAAATTAATGCAGGTCCACAAAGAGAGCGCTTCGATTTGCTAATTGCTTGTAGAGCGGAGGGTATTGTTGTGTAGAGAAAGACTGTTCATTAGAGATTGAGTAGCTAATTTTTTCCTACAAGCGAGTCTCACATTTGAGCTGCTTGTCTATCGGTCAGGGCAGTCGGCTCACGTTCAGCCCCCAGAGAAGTGTGCGGGGCTGTTGATGCAATCGGTGTTAACACCTGCGTCGTAACCACCAGATTGCTTTACTTTCATTCATTAAACCCTCCCTGACCAACCTCTTCCAGCATTGTTGGTGAAGGCTGACTTTTGGAAGGTATAGAAGACAAATTATTGATGCAGGGAAGCAAGCTAAACGATTCAGGAATGTCTCCTCAGGAGCTGAATCGGTTCCTCTCCTTCGAAACCGTTCCTGCTCCTCTTTCAGCCCTGAGCTGCTGTATCCCGGCGAGGCCGGAGCACGGGTTATCTTTCCTCCCCGGCCACTCTCTTTTGAGGATGACAGTAGCCTTGACAGTAGATTAAACTGTGTTGTCATGTAAGATGAATGTTTTGAATTGACAAACCCTTTTTTTTTTTTTGGAGACTTAAAGTAATTGACTGAATACTTGAGAGATTTTTTTCTTCCCCTGCTTTGCTACTTGATGTTCTTTTACCTGGTTGTGCTGCCTTCAGTGGGCAAATTGGACTTCACAGGTATTTGTATATCTGATTCTTAATATCTGTTTGCTTATCAGATTTCTTAATGTTTGAGCTCAGCGATCCGTGGGAATTTAACATGTGTATTAAGTAATGAGAATTTCCTTGGAGCTTTAACTTAACTTTTACGCATAGTCTGAAAATTCAGCACGCAAGTCTTTCCTACTGAGAGATTCCTGAGATACAAACGTGTTCAATCAAAAAGCCCATTAGCCAGAGTTGAGCTACATCTAGGTAGGACATTGCTTTTTCCAGTGCGAGACTCTGAGATGGGACTGGCAAGCAGATCACGCTCCCGTGCCTGCTGGAGAGGGCTCAGGGACTGCTGCACACCATCTCCTTACCGCCCGCAGGGTCACTGCTCCCGCTTTTCTTGGCTGCAGGCGGCCAGAGATGATTGAACCGAGACATCCAACAGTTCATTCCTGAAAAGGTAAATTCCAGGAAACAACATAACAGTCTTTCTTCTGGGTCTTTCCCGGTAAATGCCCGAAGCGGGGCTGGGTACAGGGGCTCAGCGCGCTGTCAGGTGCCGGTCCAGGGCGCTCTGCAGCTCCTTCCTTCCGTGGCTGCGGTGGCTGGCAGCTCCTCCGAGGCACTCTGATTAAGTGAGATGTGGGGATAAGTTCAGAGCCTAATTTCTTCTTCATAATTAAAGATGTGTGCATCGGTCATGCTGCTGGTGATTAGGCTGTATTTTCTTGTGGCCTACCAGGAATATGGCAGTGAATCACTTCGCAAGCAGCTGTCCTCTAACAGCTGAGCTAGGTTCAATATTTGATTTAAGCTAATAAAAAGTCTGGGGTAGGGCTAATGTTTACAAACTGGATGTGATAAAGCATTCAGATCATCTGTTTCGCAGCCAGGCGAGAGCAGGCACAGGGGACCCCACGGAAAGTTTGGGCTTTGTGTTGTTCTTCCGTGCCTGCCTGAGCCGGGAGCCAGCGGTCGGAGGGTCCCTGCTCCGCTCTGCGAGCGCATCAGCCAGCATCAGCTGTGCTGGAAAAGCCGCCTTGTTTCCAGCTGTATCATTGTAACGTCTCTGAATGCATTAAATATGTCCCTTTTGCTCTTCTGTGAGAGTTGTAGTCAAACCATATGGTTAAAAATCTTTTAATCTTCATAAATCATTTCTTCCAGCAATCTAGTAAGTTTAGTTGCTGTTCTCTGAATTCCCACTAGTTAGCTACAAAAAACTTTGAGATGAGCTGCCTAGAAATAAATGCAATGAAGAAAACCTACTTTGTGATTTAATTCTTATCTGATTGCTTCTCCAAATCATATTGATCTGCTGTTATCATGCTGCTGTTTTGGACTTGCTGTTCAGGTTGGCTCGAGGTCTCTGCTGGCATAGCGGCTTGAGAGGTTTGTATTTGGTTATTTTCCCCAAGCCATATCATATATAAGATAAATTATGGAATATTTCCTGCTTGTATTTCTCATTTCTCCCATCCTTTTGTATTATTTCTCTCCTGTCTAAAAGTTTTTGCAGCCTCCTTCTGAGGTAAAATGTGCGAGGGTCTTTTCCATCCTTTTTTTTTTTTTCCCTGAATTTTATCAAGGTCTTGTACTTTAAAATGCTTTTCTATCCATCCAGTTAAACAGGTTCCTAGGGAACTGTTGGCTTGATATTATAAAGTAAAATATTTCCACTGTGAAGGTGACCAGTGCTTGGCACAGGTTGCTCACAGAGGTTTTGGAGTTCAACTCCTTAGAGATACTGAGAACTCAGCTGACCAAGAGCCCTGAGCATCCTGATGTAGCTGACCCTGCTCTGAGCAGGGGATTGAACTGGCCTCTTCCAGTCTAAATTACTCCATGATTGTAGAGATGTCTGTACTAACAGGAGGCTGAACAGAGACGTGACCCTCACATGCAGGAGTGGTAGCTACTGTAAGCAAATATGTAATTCTTTATAGCTCTTCTAGTTTAGAATAGGCCAGTAGTTCCCACCTAAAGGTCACCTTCATATAGGTACAGCTGATAAATATAGAGCAAAGTTGTGGGGGGGGGGCGATGTTTAATAAAAAATATTCAGATGGTCTTGGAGTGTTTTGCAAGGGCTGCGCTAGCATCTCTCATAAATAAGATCGCTGAGGGGATGTTTTCTAATTCTTCTCCATGTGACTCTCTTCTGGCTCCAGCCTGCTGGTATAATTCTACCCGATTCAGTAGTAGTGGGAAAAAAGTCTTTCCCAGATGTCGGCGAATTTTATAGTTTCCTGATGTTTCAGCATCAAACTTGGTGATAACTTCGTTTTTTTCTTGTCACTTGTACATGCACTCTGTGTTTGGTTGGGACGGGCATCTCCCGTGGTGTTTAATGAGCGTGTTTCGTTTCCCGGTGCCAGGTCCCAGGCTTGTGTTAAAACCCTTTTCAACTTATTTGAGTGTCTGTTCCTTAAATAATGTCACATCATCCCAGGCCCTGCCTAGCACGAATCGGTAAGTTTTTCAGTTTCCGCTGAGTTCTGGGGCCAGGGAAGCCTTGAACTGTTTGGTTGGTTGTTTACAAAATTAAACTTCTGCTGTGCTGAACCCTGAGACTGTAATTTTTTTGTTTGCTTGCATTTCAGTGCAGTTAGCTTTCAAAGCTTAATGCTTTCCTTTTCGTTGTAATAAAGTGCTTGCTATTTGTTTATGCTTTGGATGTAGTACTCAAAAGGCTCATTTCATGTGTGGCGAGAGATTGTTAGAGGGACTCCAGAGCGTTTTAATGAATATCTCCTTGAAATTATGTGAATTAGTTTATAGGAAAGTTTTTCTTTTTTTGTGCGTGTTTGGTTTTTGTTCGGTTTCGGGTTGGGATTTTTTGTTTTGTTTTTGTTTTTTTTAGTTCTTGTCTGTTTACATTGTTTAAATTAGCTTCTCTGTCATCAGTTGTTACTATTTTTTGGGCTTTCTGCTAACCAGAGAAAGGCTGATTGCAGGCTAGCAAAGTGTTGGGAAAGAAAAGATGTGGGAAGTAATAGCACTCAAGTAGTCTACGTGGCTTCTCTTAACCATCTCCAAAATACTCGTTTTGTTTAAAATCTTGTTTCGTAAACAAAACTCTGTGAAAGATCATCCTCTGAGTCAAGTGCCCATTTCTCCCCAAATTATACGGAGATAACATAAGATGTTTCTGCTCTGGTTTAAGATTCTTTACATTTCAGATTTTCTCTTAAAAAAAGAAAAAAAACTTGTATTGGGATCTTTTCTCACAGAAATTCAGTAGGGTTATGTTGCAGAGAAGATTTTTCTTGGTACTTTACAGGAGCTCTGGACCAAGCCTCCTCTTTCTCTAGAGATAAGCTTGGCAAAATTGGGTGGGGTTTAGACCACTCTTTCTGCAACTTCCAAAGAAATGGAGAGGAAGTTCTCTGACTGGACCATGGGATTGAAATTTGGGATAGGTAATCCAGTGGAATTCTTCTCTGCGATAAACCTGTTCTTTCCTCTCTATGTAGGCTTCAGGTTCTTTGGGACAGGGTTGTCTCACGGGATGGGACGCTGATAGGGCAGAACAAGACCCAACACTTACAATTCCATTTCAGTGCCGTGAAAATCATGGTGCCCTTGGTGGCTTTTTTGGTTGGAGGGGCAAGGAGTGCAGTCTTATTAAACTTTCAGAAATACGTCCTAGACTTCATTTTCTTTTTCTCTCTCTCTCTCTCTTTTTTTTTTTTTTTTTTTTGTCTTGAAGGCTCAGCTGTCTCAGGTCCTGGAAGAAGTGGGAAATCATAAGCAAAGAGCAGAGATGGTAAGTGTTCATCTTTTGGGGTTTTTTAAATTGTTTTACAGACCAGTAACATATGCAATGTTTTGTTCATTTAAACAGTGGATCAGTTCCAAATATTCAGAAATGAATAGCATTGTAAAAGTTTGTCTTGGCACTCTCTGTCTCCGTACTCACCTGGAACAAGCGTTGGATGAGATCTAGTGGTCTGTCTTCCTTTTTTTGGTAATTTGCTTTCTCTGTGTTAGCAGTTCTAGATCAGAAGCAAGCATTTAATTTCATACTGAATTAACTCCTTTCTTTGGGGGCCTTTGATTCAGCCTCAAGTGTGCAAAGGACAAGCAGATGAGATGTGACAGAATTACCACAAACTAGTTTTTTATAATATGTGTTAATTTTCTGCTGGGTTTGTCAGTTTTATTGGCAATTCCCTCAAGGACCAAAAATAACAGAGGCCAGAAGACCAGTCAGTAGGGAGGTTTATGTGCAGCTTCATGAGTATTGTATACAATTCTTCATATTCAGGAATAAATGAGGTGTTAGCATTAAGCTGTAATGTGAACCAATGTTTTTGCTAATGGCTGAGTTGTGGGATTCCCGCAACTTTTCTAATCACAAGAAAAACCTGAGCAGTATCCACGATGTAGACATTCATTCTGTAGATGTGTTTTACTCTTACTAAGAAAAAATGGGCATGCATCACTGGCTAGTAAGTAGGTGTTAAACAGACCTTTGCTCTAGAATCCAAATCATAAAGTACAGGGCTAACGCTAGTCTAAAAAGTCTTCTGCTTAACTCTACCAGGGCACTGAAGGGCAGAACCGACCTGCCCCTGCTGTACTATTAATAGGTGGCCATACGTCTGCTAGTTTTTGTTTGTTTCTTTTTTTTAAATTTGTACTCCTTGCTGTTTCAACATCAGATTTTCCATAATGAGAGTGTTAATTGATTTGGGTTCTGGGGTGGTCTTACATCGTGGGCAAACTTTTTTGTATGCTCAGCTGCTTTCTCTGGTGACACAGGTCAGAACTGATATTTCCAAAGAAAACTGAATTAATCCTGTTTACCATCTGATCTCATTATATGCTGCCTTGTTATAGTTTTAAATTCTATACAATCAATTTTGTGTTGGGCTCACTGGACTTATCGGAGGATAAATTTGCTGTTATGTTTTAAATGTTTTGATGTGTGCTTCTTTTAAAACATTTCAAAGTTTTTCTTTTTGGCTCATTAAGCCTGGATTTTGAGTTATTTGTTTGCTTTCAAAAGTTTGTCATATTAAACAGGCTAGCAGAGAGCTGGAGAAACTGGAACTTCCAGCATTAAAGCATTAATTGGCATTGTGCATCTTCCATCAGCAGAGGATAAAGAAGCAGTCCGTATTCCCAAGGGCTGCTCAGTGGAAAACTGTAGGTCTTGTGATCTTCCAGTAAAGCTTCCATCAGTCTCACAGGAATAGGCTGTATGCTGTCGGGCTTTAGACGATGGACTGCAGATTGTGAGGGGTGGGCTTTATTTTGAATTTTGTTCAGTAAATATAAGAAAATTGCTTCAAACAGAGGAAGAGAGACTGTTTTTCCTCTTTTTTGGAGAAACCTGACACTATAGCTCCTCCTTTCACTGGTGGTAGGTGATTCTTCTCCATCCCCAGGTGAAATCTCCCTGATAG